GGGGAGAAGGATCCCAGCCTTGCTTCCTATCGCTGTGGCAACAGCAGTTGTCACCCAGCCAGTCATGGACCATTCCCAGCCATGGACCACTCCAAGCTCCACGAGGAACAGGACAATTCCAGGGAAAACACATGTGCACGGACACCCACCACACCAGCAGTGCTCTCCAGGAAGCTGCCAGCTCATTTACATGCCCACCTCTGGAAATTCCACTTAATTAGCCAGGAAACCCTTGTGCAAGGAATTCTACTCCTGCAGGAACAGGCAAACCCAAAGCATTACCAATACTGAGCTTTATTTTGGTGCTCACCAGACATTCTTGCTGAACTACAAACATGACAAGAAATGCCAGCATGTGCATTTATTTGTTGATAAATAAACCCAAGCTCCCTCCAGCAGAGAAAATCCTTAATGTTTGGATTTGCAGAAGAAAAAGGGCTTCCTAAGGAAATTGCCTTCCTTGTATCGAGCTCCTAAATCAGCTTAGATGAAGGTTCTGTAACTCCAGATCTTTGACCTGCAGCCATCCTGTTGTGCTCAAGGTGTTGAACACGGAAAACAAAGAAATTAAAGGCTTGTGAAATCAAGTATTACCCACACAGGATCCTTTGAGGCTCTTGCTCAGCGTCTCGTTTGCATATTTATGAACTGCATTTTAGTGCTAATTGCCAGTGACAAGCTAAATACCCACATGATCATCCTCAGTGCCTCCTGAAGCTGTGTGGGGACATGGCCAGGGGAAAGCAGCAGTTCAGGGCTGTACCCACAGATATCTCCCACACTCAGCCCGTGTCCACGTGGCCAATCCAGTAATTACACCACTGAATTTCCCAGGCAGCATTTAAACCCCCTGGGGACAAGAGACAGCATTTTAAAATGGATCAAGTGGTTTAAGAATCTCTGTTTCACCTGCCCTCAGCACAGCTCAGGCTCTGGAGCGGCAAGTCCTCCCAAAATCTTGCTGAAGGAATTGATGCTGGCCTTGTACGAGCACAGATCAGCTTCCTGGGGGAAGCCTTGGGCTGAGGATCCACCTGACATGTCAGAGTCCCCCTCCCTCCAGCTGACTTCCACCCTGCTGAAATCCTGGGAAACTCACAGTGAGTTCAAGGTCCAGAGGAAAAGGTCAGGAGTACAAACCTGAGCTCAGTGTAACTGTCAGAGGGTGAGCCCTGACAGCAACCAGGGCCCACCACACGCTCACCTGGGAGAGACCTAATCCTTGGCTGGATTTATCCCCAGCTCCTACTATCAGCATGGAAACAGGAATGTAACATTAAAGGCTCCCAAAATTCCTGCTGGTTTAGCTTTTAGTCACTGAACCAGATCTGCTTTGCCTGGTGCTTTGTATTTTTAGTCTCTCCTTCCCCCGTTGTTGTCCTCCCTTCCCCTCTCCTCTGAACCCCCCCAAATCATTTGTTTAACGCAGCTGCAAGAAGATTGAACAGAATTAGCAAGAACTATATCCCGTGCCCCAGGAGCTGGCTGGAAACTCCGTGCCTGGATTAGAGAGCAGCACAAAAAGACAGAGGATAAAGGACAGCTGCCAGAATTGGTCTGTGCTGCGCTAAAAAAGCAGAGGGGCACACACAAACAATTCCTGCTGGGAATTACAGCCCAACAAAAGCCCGGCTGGCTCCATGGCCAGAGGCCACCACTGCCTGGTTGAGATTCATTTTATCATGTGAACAGAGCAGCTCCCAAGCACAGGCTCAGCCCACAGAAAGCATCACCACAGCCAGGGATATCTCCTATACTATTAACAAAAATAAGTATTTTCTTTCTTTATCTATAATATATAAATAGATGATCATTTGCTTTTATTAATGTAGCTAAATATATCTTATGAATAAGTTATTTGGAGAACATCATCTCTAAGTCAGCAAGTGCTGTTATATCCAGTGAAGGAAATCTTTACTAATGGTCCTTTGAAGTACTTTAATTACCAAGCAGCCAATTATGGAAGTCTTAAGTCAGTTTTCACGCTGCCAAAAGTTTCATTTTTGGACGTGATCCACACTTTGCACCTGTTAGAAGTGAAAATGTGACTCTCTTTTTTTTAAAGGTTCCTCTCCTGACACACAAACCCCCTCCTCAGTGACCAGTGCAATCTTCCACTCAACACTGACAACTTCAAAAGTACAAACAATTGGCACCAAATCAGTCAAACGACTTCAACAGCAACCCTGAAACTAAAGCAAAGCCAGAGTAACCTCCTACCACATCCTCAGTCCTTATTAGTGCAACTCTGACACAGAACCTTCCTACAGGCAAAGACATCTGTAACCCAAACAAGTGTAAAATGATAAAAAAACCCCACACTGCATGGAAAAATCCCAAAGGATTAGTGTCAGAAAACATTTGGCAGCAAGAGATTGGAAAAACCCACGAAGGCCTAACAGAAGAGAGTGGCTACACCAGTCATTTCAGGGGAGGCTGTCGAAGCAGAACTGCTGCAGGAAGGTTTGTTATTCCAGCTTTTCATCTCCCTCCTCCACATCCTTCAGGCTGAGCACTTCCAGGGACCCCTTCCCTTTGGTCTCGCTCCGGATCAGCTCGTCGATCTCTCGGAAGCAGCCTGGGTCCACAAGGCACACCTGGAATGTTCCACATGTCACAGTCAAGCAAGAATATTGGAATCTCACCAGGCCCTAAGCAAGGCCTAACATTAATTTTCATTTAAAAACCCCATTTAGTTACTAAGAAGGTCTTTGCAGAGCTGATAAACAGTATCTTCCAGGTAATCTAATCTAATCTTTGCCCTGAATTTCTGCAGTTCCAGTTCCCCATGCTGGACATGGCTTTTTCCAGTTGGGATTGCTGGATTCTAATCTGTTTTCAAAGAAGATTTTTACAAATACCAAATTTTGCTTTACCACAGACTTTTAAAAAGAAATAATTAACCACTAATAAATAATAAAATATAATACAATAATAAAACACAGGCTTGAGCCACCACATAAATAACAGTAACATTCCACGTATGCAGAAAAACTTATCAGTGTGGCAGGATAATCACTGCTAAGAGAAACTGCACTGGGCTTCTGCTCAGCTTGGAGCAGCAATCTCTGGATAACAAAGGTTGCTCACATCCTTAGGATTGTTTGAAATTAAAAACCCCAAACAGCAGCTCTGATTCAGTTCCACCTTCCATCTATGAGTTCACCTTCTAGTAAAATACGTAGTCAAGTCAAGTATGAAGCCCAGGGACTGTTTTTTGCTTACAATTTCCAGCTGCTCCTGGAAGTCCTCGCTCTCAATAACTTTAATCAGTGGCTTGAGCTTCTCTTTCAGCTTCTTGCCCTCCTTTGGTGGGAGGATAAACCTCAGCCTCATGTGAGCACGTTCAATTTGCATGGTCTCCTTCAGCTGCCTGATCACTTCCAGGGCCTGGAAGGACACAAAGAGCATTTACACACCTGCTTCAAAACCACCACACTCATCAAAATCTCCAACCCTTTGCACCAGCTTCAGACCCATCTCTCAGTGCTGGTCACTGCCACTCTGCTGCAGGGAGGTTGCTGTCACACTCTTTTTGCCAGATTAACAAGAAAAAGCAGAGTTCTTGCTGTTTGTGATCACTACAGACACTTAAAAACCTTGTCTGAAATAAAATTAAATAGCAGTTACACTGCAAAACACCACAAACCCAGGTGGTTCAGATGCAAAGGCTGATATAACACCTCAGTTGGGATAAATCACAAACCTTTTATTTCTGTTCCAGGTGTACCACTGTTGCTGTTTTATTTAAGTTTCTTTCTTTCTCCCTTCCTTGAATTCTTAGAAAACAAATTGACTGAGTTTCAGGAGCTGCTTGTATTCAGCTGCCAGATGGCTGAGTAATCCCTCTGAGGGCTCAGATGTCAGGGTTTTGCTGACCCCTGTGTGACAGGGAGCTGAGGAATTACACCGGAGCGCAGCACCTCGGAGCAGGAGCTGGTGTTGCAGGAAGACTCACCTGCTGCTTGGTGCTCTTGTTGGGTTTGACAGAGTAGTGGATGTCCTTCATGGCTCTCTCTATGAGGATCACTGTGTAGGGCCTCTTTGTTTCGGGGTTCACACATTTGTCAGCCACGATGGTGGCGATGTCTCGGAACATTTGCTCCAGCTGAGTGTGGCGCTCTTTGTCCGATACCTGCAGCTCCCCTTTGGATAAAATCTGTGTTGTAACAATAAAGAAACCAGTTAAAAAACATCATGGACGTGAAGAGTGGGAATTCCAGTAACTTTGTTAAATTTAACCATTGTTGGGATGGTTGGGGTAGATGTGAAGTGCAGAAAACAAAAATCACGTTGATAAAGTGAATCGTTACGACAGCTCTGGAAAGACTTCAGACAAAAAAACTCACCATGGAAACTACAGCGAGGGAGGCACAGATTTCACAGAATCACAGAATATCCTGCATTGGAAGGGACCCCCAAGGATCACCCAGTCCAGCTCCTGGCCCTGCACAGACACCCCAACAATCAC